GTCCATATTGTCTCACCTGATGGCCTCGGTTTGTAGCTTGATCAGACAAATCTTATTGAAGGCAAGGCAGGCCGCAAAAAGGCGAGCCGAATTTGCTTAAGTTACGGCTCTGTGACCTTATCAGCTACTTGTCTCTTGTGCATGCAAGTGTGTTATAACATATATGCATATATATATATATATATGTATGTATGCATATATTTGTGTGCATGCATGCATTTGCTTGTGTGCAGGCGTATGTGACAGTTCCTCATCCTTGCCTGCCTGTCTAGGTGCGCTTGTGTGCCGCTGCTACTGCTGCTGCCATTGTTGCTTCTGTTTCGCTCGCCGTCTGTCCAGGCTATCGAATGCGTCAGTGTCAAACACGGCCATTTGCCGAGCCATTCAACCAACCAACCAGCCGGCCAGCCAGGATGCTTTCCTGTCTGCCACCTGCATTTCAGACCAGGAGGCAGTCATTTTGCTCTTGTCGCCCGGCCTCTGCGCACGCCTTGACTTTCACGGATGCCTAATGCGCTCCTCGGATTTCGGGCTTCCCGGCCGACGGCGAAATGTGCATCTGCCTGAGAGCAGCGGTCATTTGATATAGCATCCCGTCCCCTGCCTGCCTGGAATTAACTCTTGCCAATCCCTTCGTGTCCGCCTTGAGCATGGGATTTGTGTCTCCTCGCCAAATGTCGTTCCGCTGCCTGGCTCGCTAGGCCACGTCCACTGCTGAGACGCTGCATCTCGTCTGCAGGATGACCTCGTTAAATTGTTTCAAGCAGAAAATCGCTCTCGAACACCAGACAAACACAGCCTCTCTGCCCGACGGTTCGCATTGCCCCAATGCCCACCATATTGGGCTAGTGAGTGAGGCCCGCTCGAGCACCATGCGTCTGGCCCCGCTCGACCGGTCCCCCTGTGAAAGGGCACTGAGTCCAGAGGACACAGGACCCGTCCTTGCACCCAGTCTCGTCTCCTCCAGCTGTATGGAGGGCTTCGATTGGCTCCCTAGACGAGGCACCCTTGTAAAGACCGTCATCTCTCAGCCCACTTCATGTGAAGCCAGGCGTGAGGACGCCTTGGAAGTGCCGACTCCTGTCTCCCCGTCAACACCAGCGTCGATTCCGATCACCTCGGCCTCAACTCACCTGCGTCCTGTCTCCATGCACTTTGTCAAAGCCACCTCCTTGACGAGCAGCTATCGGTTCCGTATAGCCAATAGCCTCAGCCAGTCTGCAGGATCTCCTATTCACTCACTTCGTAACTGCATTGGCGGCAGTAGTGGTAGCAATAATGGTAGTGGAACTACCCCTGTTGCCGTCCTCCCTGGCAAAACTGCAGCCATTGCCAACAGTCCACTGACCAACAGACCTCCGGATGTGTCTGGTATCAATCCCAAAGTCAATTCTAGCGCTACTGGTGTGTCCTCTCCGCCGCCTGCCGAGTCCCCCTCCTCTCTAGCCAGCAAGTACTCCTCGCTGCCAGCACCGATGTCTCCGCAATCGAAGTCGCCACCGCCAGCTCTACCTGCCGAGGTTGGTTGTTCAATAGCACTACCACCTTCGGGACGACATACACAGTCGTCCCCGTGTCCCAGTTCTACGCTTTCTGGCGATAACAGCTCTTTTCTGGCTGATGCATCTGTTGAAAAGGAGAGGCCTTTAAGCTGTCTTGTGCGAAGTCATTCTGACTCGACGTGTCTCTCCTTAAAGGCATTTGAACAACTTCGACTCTCGAACAGCTCTA